TATGATTGGTCAACTGAATGGGCTATATTTCATCATACAGCCTGCTAAATTAGAAGTTGCTTTGACTTGTCTGGATTAAAATCTTCCCCCCTCTATCTGAACCTGCACATAATCATAATACATATCTTACTACCCTCGTTTTCTTACTTTGTACTGCATGTTACAGAACCATGTTGTTTCAGCTCAGATTTATGGCCCACATGCTCAATAGAGCATGGGCCATTTATCCAAGTGGAAAAAACTTGGTGTGTATCTTAGCAACACAGAAAGCAAACTTGACTGCTAAGAGTTATTTATAGAAACTACATGTACACCAAGAAAGGTGATCTGCATTTGGCTGCTCTGGCCTGTGGCTAGTCTCAGAGGACTTCAAGGCATGGACTACATGAATTTCAGCCAAATCATTCATTTATACAAATGAATTTAAGTCTTCGTTGAATTTTGACCAGTACATCTCATTTAGTAATTTTTCTTACTGCCTGCCATGCAATTCTTATTGCTATAAGTTGATTGGATCAAGTAATAACCCTTTAACTGACATTTTTCTTTATTCTCATAACTTGTCTGCTTAATGTTGTATTTGATAATTTGATAGTAAAGGGAGAAACTTTTTCTTGGTCAGTCATGTGAATTAACGTGTTAGCAGGTACAGGGTTAGATTCCTTCTAAGCGGGGCTAGGAGGTATTAAGAAATAATAAAATTCAGCCTACTGTAACTAGAAATATTTTTACCTGTGTGTAAAATCTGATGGCAACATGCACACAATCTTATACAATACTATTGACTGACATCATACCTTTTGCTCTGGTGGCATGTCTTATGGACTCTACTGTCTGCTGCTTCACACCTTCATCTGCTGCCACAACAAGTACAACAATGTCTGTCACATTAGCCCCCCTGGCCCTCATTGTTTCAAATGCAGCATGGCCAGGTGTATCAATGAATGTAATTGTCTTGTCTGTTCCTTTAATGCTGACTGCAAAAGGAAGACAACAAGGGTTTCAAAGTGTTTTGCAGTAGACTCCGCAAAAGTAGTCAGCTATGAAAAGTTCATTCAGGGCCAAAAGGTATTTATTTTGACCAGAGTAACCAGTGACATGCTATCAAGTAGCCAGCAAAACTCTGGTGATCACTGCTTTGTTTTGATATCCCTGCAACATTACTTTTATTTGTATATATGCTTTTTTAACCCTTTAACTCCCAGAAGTGATTAACATAAAAATTCTCCCTACAATATCCACACATTCTTCAGAAAACAGGTAATGAGAATATTCAACCTTATCAGGTAGACACTGCTATCTTGATATAGCACCAAGATCTCAAAACTAATTTACAAGGAAATGTGTAGCAGCTGGTGGGGAGAATTAACAATCAGATCCTTGGGAGTTAAAGGATTAATATAGGAATGAAGCTAGCCTGACAGCTTAAAGAGACCAATTTAAGGAGGACTAGGAGTGATAAAAACTACTTTTTGCTATTATTGATATTAACTGCTGTCAGTTTTACAAGGATTTCCAGCTCTGAGAAAAGCCATCACTGCACATTAGTAAAATTACCATAATTCTTTATGTGTTTGATTATGCCAATCAGCTACTGACAAGTCACTGATCTTTCCCATAACTGTTGCTAATAAAGTCAACTTTTTTGGTCAGAATAGGCCCATGGTGTCCATGTCATAAACAAAATAATGCATGGTTACTTGTAGATAGTTCACCTTAATAACTTACTTGTTTCCTGCCCTCACCCACAAGATACCTAATTCAACACTTGAAGAGAAATTCTATAACTACGCACACCAATGTATTAGTCTCTTTTTATTACCTGAGAAAGCGCCAATATGTTGTGTGATTCCTCCCGCCTCCCCGGCCACTACTGATGTTCTTCTCAGTGTGTCAAGTAGAGTGGTTTTGCCATGGTCAACATGACCCATAATTGTCACTACAGGAGGCCTTGATTCAAGGGAATGGCTGTTTTTTTTTAATGAAGCCAAATTGAAAAAAAAAATTATTAGTCATTACAGAAAATAATCTTAAGTTTTTCTTACAATAAACATAAATGTATACAAAGCACTTTACATGCATTGAACACATAATACACTCAATTGACAGTGTAAATATAAATTCTAAAGACAACTGGATCTTGTCAAAATGATGAACTTGAATATAAGGGAACTTGAGATCCTTGATATTATTTATTATCATTAACTATCAAGAGTCATATTTTCAACCATTTTTCAGACCTTGTTTCTGTTTTGAGATCTCGGTGAACAGGAGTCATGTTGTGTTCCATCACCAACAGCTCGGCTTGGTCTGGTGAAAGCACTGTACATAAAAATACCACAGAACATGAACTTTTTTCAGTCTCTTTAAATAACCCATTACACCCTAATGCAGATCTGTGTTCTCTGTACTCTTTGCTGTACATTCTCCCTAGCACTTACAAGGAGAATTTGGTTAACAATCAAAGCTTCTCAGTATGGTGATCCCTTCCTAGATATTCCCATGATCGGTGGGAATTATTCAGGCTGCACTTACAGTGTACGACTGTAAGAAGAAATTAAATGTTGGTCACTCTTAGGGATTGAAAGGTTCAGTAAATCTGTCTCTTTCACAAGCTAAGTTTTGGAATTTTCAAGTACTTACTAATAATAAAACAAAAAATACACAAAAACATGACTCTAAAATATTTCACTGTTTTCTACAATGAAAAGACATTTCCATGTACCTGTGAGCAGACCATTGGGCAATTCTTCGCCAAGTTCAACCAATATATCAGCTAGAGAACCTGTTTAAGCATTCAAATTAATTTTGATTAACCTTTTCACTCCCAAAATCCCTGTAAATTCTCCATACTGTTTTACTGTTCTACCATACAATTCTAGTGATGTTAGTTCTGAGAATTTGCCATTGGATCAACTAATAAACTGGTAGCTTAACTGATATTTTTCTTTATTCTCATCATTAGACTGCATGATATCATATTGATATTGCAAGGAGAAATTCTGTCCTGGCCACTCATGAGAGTTAAAGGGTTAAATTTTAGTAATATTCATGTGATTTTGAAATCATCTGAAGACAACGATTTACTTGTTACTAAGAACATAAAATTTTATTGGCACATTACCTGGATCACAACTCATCTCAGCAGCAAGCTGTCTAATGGTCATACCTGGTCTTAATGCAATATATAACTGAAAAATCGAGACGAGAGTGAAAAAAAATTTACTTCAGAACACATCAATAATCATATAATTGGTGTTCAACTGCATGGCTTCATGAAACTTTCACCAATATTTTAAATTTGAAATCCAAGGTAAAAGATTGTCTTTTTCTTAAACTTTTGTGTTTACTTAACAATATCAAACCATCCATGCATAATCCTGTTATCATGTACTTCTCTTTAGACACCACTTTCAAATGAAACATTGAGTTACTGGAGTCATAATTGTGTAATACTATGGATTTTGTCATGAGAAGTAAAATGTCCCACAATCCAAATAACTGTAACTATTTTCAAATGGTGGATAACCCTTTTGAGGGCTGCATGATCTCTACTCCATGTTAACCACATTCCCCAAAAGTTTCTTTCCAAACCTTAACCCTTTCACCCCCAAGATCTCATTAGTAATTCTCCTTACTCTCTGTCATACTGAATTCATATGATGTTAGTTTGGAGAATTTGATATTGAAATCAAATAATAGTCCCCTAATTGATAATTTCTTTATTCTCATCACTTGTCTGCTTGATATTGTATTGATATGGTAAAGAGAAATTCTGTCTTGGTCATTCACAGGAGTTAAAGGGTTAAACAACACAATTCTGTTAACTATGTATGCAATGCTGGGAACCTTTAATTGCTGGGCTGTGCGGCAAATGTTGCATTTCAGATAACAAGTGACTGGTATATAATATGTGATAAAATTTTTGGGTGGTCGTAAAAAAATTACAGTGTACCTGTGAACCAGGTTTCTGTGGTAAGGAATGCTGCCATCTTCTGTGGAGTGCTGTCCTTGCATGGCCCAGAAACTGTCATAAAAAAAGAAAAACGAACAGGATATGAATATTAAAAATTAGATTAAACCAAATACTGTTCAGTAAAAATACAAATACCACCCTAATTTCCTGAAAAAAGCAAGACTACTGGATCTCCAAGATGTGGCAATGTGTCTGAAGGAGTTAAAAGACAAAGTTTTATCACATCAGAAAATTAAGAAAAGGTACCTTAAAGGCATTTGAAGAATCTTGATGTTTACATCTTTTTTCAATATGCTTCCATACACAAGTAACTGGCCTTGTGAACTGCAAGGAGTACTTGCCACAAATGTGGTGGATGATCTGAAAAGCAAACATTCCTCATCCATTTAAAACTGCAGTTTTCTCTCAGTGCATACAAAGTTTAGGTGTTTTTCCTCAACAAAGATTCAGGGAGTTATTGTTCAAGAGGAACTCAGGTAATCGACATAACCACTATGAGTTTTTTAACTGAAAGTATGTTACATAATTATTTTCTGAAGACAATATTGCTTCACCGGCTTCTATCATATTGTCAGTCATAAATGTACTCGACAAAGAGTTCAAACATTCAAATCACCCTTACAGTAGAGAGCTCACATGATGCGACCCAGCTTTCATCTATCTAGAAAATCGTAAACAAAATACTTCACGTGGAACTCGTCGTGATCTCAACTGTGACAAGTTGCCAAGAGCAGTTCCTCGCCACCACCGGCGCTGAAGCAAATGACAAAAGTACCGGCTACACCGATTTTTTTCTCTTACCTGGCTCCTTAGAGAAACTCTTAAAGTCCTATTCATTGTAAAGGGGCGTCATAACATCACACAATTAAGCGTGACGCGCTAGAGAGAACATTTGGAAATTGCAAAGATTTCTCTCGTCTGTTTCATGCGCCATGATATAGACTTCAATAAGTCAGCGGTATTACACTTTGACGTATCGGGTGAAACAAAATGTCCTGTCATGCTGGGAACGGCGTTGACGGTTTTTAAATAATGATTGCAGAAGATTTTGAACGTGCCTAGTACACGTATTGAAGAGGATCTAAAGATATAAGTGCATTTTAGTAATTTTTCATTTGTTTTTCTAAAACCGCCTCTTGAAATGGTAGTCAGTTCCAATGATACACAAAATGTTGTTTTACACGACATAGGGGTAAATTTGCTTCTCTGCACGTCTTGCCTTCGCATTTCTATTTGGAACATTTTGAAATGGCTGGTGGACGGAAAGAACTCGTGGAATACCTTGAAAACTTGGGAATCACTTCAGAAACGGTGGAACATCCCGCAGTTTTCACCGTGGAAGCCATGATGCCGTATATCGGCCATCTCCCAGGAGCGCACAGCAAGAATCTTTTCTTGAAGGACAAGAAGAAAAAACGCTTATGGCTCTTCACGGCTTTGGCGACTCGCGAGATCAACTTGAACGATCTTGCCAAAAAAGTCGGAGCAAGTGGAGGATTTCGGTTTGCAGATGAAGCAGTTATGTTGGAAAAACTTGGTGTCGGACAGGGTTGCGTGACACCCCTATCTCTGTTCAACGACACCCATCAAGAAGTCACGTTCTTACTAGACGCAAGTTTTGTGGAGGATAATCACGAGAAAGTGCATTTCCATCCGATGACTAACGAAGCAACAACAAGCATGAAACCCGAAGATTTCATGAAATTTGTCAAAGCAACCGGGCATGAACCAATCATTGTGCACTTCTAGAATCACTGTTAGTGGGAACGTTGCTAGTGGACACGAGTCTGAATTGTGTACAAAATGTGTTCGAAATTTGTTACGTGTACACAAAAGTAACGTAATCAATTATTTAGGATTACTTTTTTATCTGAACCATGAGGCAGTCCCTCTCTTTCAGCGCAATCCTCAGCATGGGGTCATAAAATTGGCAAAAGGCAATTTCTTTGCAAAAAAACCGTGCCTTAGAGGAGTGAGACACGTGGACAAATGTGACACTAACTGGGAATTTTTCTTAGACTATAATAATGATAATTTCGCAGATGACTGCTGAACTAGTGACTTACTCCAAAGGTTATACTGGGAAAGAGGGATTTCAAATAATCTATTTGTAAATCAGTCCTTGTATTACAGACATGTACCAACATCGTCAAAATTATGGTAGCATTTTGATTCTTAGTTGAAATCCAGAAAGAAGACTACTTTGTCATGTACTTAGTGCACTAGTCAAAGTAAATACTGCAATTTCAGGACGATTACCCGCGGGTAATCCGTTAATTTTTCCACAAACAGTTGTTAGTGCAGGTTATAGGAAGGTGCGGGTAATACGATAATTTTTAAAGCTTATAAGTCTTAAAACTATAAGCAGGAAAAAACCAGAGATGATAAGATGCGCTAAAGATACTCTTTAAAAAACCTCTGTAATAACTCGTTTATTTCGTGCAGATTGCACGTTACAATAAGAGACTTTAAAACTCTCGATGAAAGCTGATGCAAATCGAAAACATACAAAACTCGATTCAAAGCTTTTATCTTGTTTGTACTCTTACTTTCTTACCTTTTCAATTTCACAACTTGTTTCTTTTTAATTTCAAAAAACAATTCTCACTTATACGGGAAGCAAACTTGATATTAAAAGACTTTAATTGTGAAAATTTGAGCAATTCACACGGAAAATGATGCGACATGTTCATTTCGTGGCGCCGCATAATTAATGACGCGAGATAATTTTTGACGCACAAGTGAAATTTCTTAGCTGGCATTGCCTTGAGTGAAAGACTAATTTCCCGTTTCAAGGGATTTATTCGACTTATAGATCTTGAGATATCGATTTTTTTAGAACAGATTTTTACAAGTGGTATCATTCTCAATGAAAAAGCAAAGACAAAAAGTGTGAAAATTTATTAGTTGCACGCTAAAGGTATCATGTTAACAAAATCAATGAAGGAACTTTGTGCGAGTCGACGATTTCCTCTTGTTTTTGGGTGCGGGTTATCTGCCAGTGCGGGTAATCTGTTGAAACTTTTTTCTCGTTATTGCAAAAATTGACCGATGCGGGTAATCTGCCATACGGGTAAATGAACGGAAATTACAGTACTCACTCCTCACCCCTCATTCCTCTTTCCTTCTCCCCAGGTTATGTGGGGCTTTGTTTACCATTAGCAGCTTTTTGCCCCCATTACGTAGAGAATCCATGTTTTTGTTGTCTGTCTGTGGGAATGTAGGGCAGTGGTTGGAATTCCATGAAATATGTACACACGATGGTGGCTACTCTTCCTGCACAGATTTATGGAGTTTGTAAGATGAAATTAAAGTCTGCTTTTGCAAAGATTTGAAATAAGATGAATAGTGTTGTAAAGTAACGCTGTTATGAGAGAGTTAAAATTTTATTCCAAAAGTGTCTTGCAGTGTATGTAACTAATAGAATTAAAATATTATCCTAATTCTGGATAACATTTCCTACTCTGTACAACAGGACCCAAGCTCATCCAACTTAATCGTTAAATTAACATCAGTCTGGAAACAATCAGTGAAATTCTGTCTACATTTTGAAACTTTTTAAAAGCCTCATTTATTATTCAATCTGGTCAACTTGTGCTACCTGTAATTACATTAATCGATTATCTTTCCAACCTTACTTGTCTTTCCTCATACTTACATTGTCTGTTCTCACTCCTTGAAAATAGCTACACTTCAGACAAAAAGGAAAAAACATGCGTTTGGCATAAAAATGCAGACCATTACGTATTGTCGATAACAGTTAATATTTACTAGTGATGCGACATAATGTTGCCTTGATTTTCAGCCTTTCAAACAATTTTCCTGAAGATCTGGAAGACTTTTAAGGCTCGTAATGAAAAACAAAACAAAATTCGCAATTCATGTAGTTTGTAAAAAAGCTTGAATGTGTTACTTACTATTAGTGTTCTTAATGACAAAAATTTTAACCACTACCATTGTTTAATTACAGTACAGTAGACCTATTTCAAGTTTTGCAATTAATACTGAGTGCAAGCATTTATTTTACAGACACTGATTGTGAAAACAGTTCTTGTTTGTTAGCACAAGGTAAGTAAACAGGCCAATATTACCCATTATCACCTCAAAGTGAAACTCCCTGAGAAACTTTCTTGAAGTCAAATTCCTTACCAAATAAAAAAAGAACACTTTGGTGATCAGAAAAACTAACAAAGTAGGGTTACCCAAATATATCTAAAACCCTGGCTACTTGGTGCTCCAGAAGAGAGAAACATTTTCATTACAAAAATTGACTGCAGACATTATTAATAATAATCCATTTAACAGTTGCCAACTTGTCTGCCATGCCTTTGAACAGAAGTGAGGCTGCTAAGATTGACCTTGTTGGGATAAAAATGTTGCTGCTTTTCAAATGTAAATTACTTTGTTATCATGCTTACTAGATATTGGTCTCTATCACAAGGTCACCTTCAGCCTCACTCCAAATCAAAGGCTTGGCAATTAAGAACACAACTGTAAAATGGCTTATTAGGAAAGTAAGCTTAAAATAAAAAAAAAAATTCAAAATTGCATGCTATAAAATTAGGGCTATTTTAACCCTTTAACTCCCAAAAGTCATTAAAAATTAATGTGACTTCTCATGATATTCAAACATCATTTTGCAAACAGGAAATAAATATACTGAAACTTAGGCTTAGGCTTAAGTTGTTACTTGGATCTAAAATCAAATTCTCGAAACTAATTCACAAGGAAATATGTGGTGGCTAGAAGGGAGAATTAACAATCAGATCTTAGGAGTTAAAGAGAGAAGGATGTGTTGAAAAAAGAAATTTTTTATGATCACTGTACACTCAGATGGGTATCTATGAATGCCAATTATTTTAACATCAGTTCAGTTTCTTAACCCTTTCCAGCTCAAAAGTACCATATAGCACAGGATGCCATTACATACTAAATATTTATTCATTTTTTCTGAATTTTTTGCAACCAAAAGGTCATTGAAAGATCTGCACATTGAAGGCATAAAACCATGGTCCCCTCCAATATAAGACTTGGTTTACCACTCCTGCAACTTTTGGAACTTTTTGTCTTTGCACTGTTTTGGTTCAGGTGATATCTCACCACAATCAATGCTCTGAGGGTTGCAATTTAGCCTATAGTTTAGTGGTATACTCTACATGTACAAGGCAAACAAAAAATGTCAAGGTTTTTTATTCTACACTTTGGACACTTCTCAGACAGTCTTTCAGTTACCTCCTCTACATCTGTTGGTGTCCTTTATAGCATGCACCCCAAAAAAACCTATAAAATGATATATTATACATGGTCTATATCTAGTGGTTCATTACTCTCATTTTAGAAAAAATTTGGCATTTCCCTTGGGCAGGAAAGGGTAAGAATTCCATTTCAAGAACTTCTGAAGAGAGGCAGAAGGCTAGCAATTTCTACCAGTTGGTGAGTCATAACTTTCAGGTCATCTACAATACCTCTATATAATTTTTTGCTCTACTGTGTGCCCAAACATTTATTTGAAAAAAAAAAAATCTTGACAAGAGCTTTTATATGGACATACAGCATAGTCATAAGAACAAGTATTACTAATAACTATTATAATGAGGATTCCAATGGATGCCATTGTAACATTACTTTCAGTCCTATTACAAGAAATAATAACTTACTGTTATATACACTACAATTTTAAGAAATTTGTGTCCCCAACCAATCTTGACTAGTAATTATAAAGTACCCCAAAATCTTGTCATTATGTATCGCAAATTATTTGAGTGTGTTTTCTAAAAAAAAATTGTTAAAATGCAACCTTGTGCACTACAAAAACTCATATCACACAATAAATTATAAAATTTCATTCTCACCACAACAGCAAATTGTTTAACATCCACCTTCAAACTACATTTCCAAGTGAACTTAATATTGCTATTATTCTTAAAATATTTTATTAACAAATTATACTTGTCTATCAGTCATACAAACTGCAATTCATTCATTCTTACACGGTATTTGCATCACTCACAGTGTGCCATATCTACAGTTTTTCTCCATTTGTAACAAGTTCGAAATTATTCAAAAAAAATTTACCATTTGAGTGACCAGTGTCATCTTGGATTTAATAAGGGGGATGTTCCTCCACTGTTGCTTAGATCACTACTTGTGGTAGACCTACTTTCTGTTGACGTTGTCTTGTTCTTTTTCCGTCTCTTGGCAAGTGGTGCTTGTTGCACATCCATTAAGGTAAATCCCTCCTTATGTGCTCTGTTAAAAGCATCATATGTTACATTTAATGCAGACTCCACGTAAGTCCTTTTATGTCCTTTGCCCAAAATTCCTGGGGTCATGAGAGGGGTATGGGGCAGACATGTACCACCCCTAAGCCACTCGTGGTTCACAACTTCTCTAATTTTTAGTCTCTTGCTTGGATCCACTGTTAAAAGCCCTGGAGAGGAGAGAGAGAGAGACACACACACATTAAATTTAGCTAACTATAGTATTATGATTGGATAGAAAAATGCCAGACAAAAGGCAAAAAGAGAAGTAGTCATGAGTCAAAATACTTTTATATAATAAGCTCAGTTACGCACACATTCTGATTGGTTCTCACTTATGATCTATTGGAGGACAGACATATAGATGACGTCATCATTAAAACTTTTTTTAATTCTTTATTATATAAAACAAATAGATTCCAAGTTGCCGTGCGTCTGTTCAGTAATAGATCACAGAGGATGTCAAAATGTGGTAAGAACATCAGTGACACACTCGGCTGCACCTCATGTGCCACTTTTTTGTTCTTACCCCATTTTGACGTCATCTGTCATCTATTACTGAACAGATGCATGGCAACCTGGAATTTATTTGTTAAGTTGACTAAGTTACAGTTGCAGGTGTGGCTGGAGAAGAAAACATTTGGCAGGTGTACCTTCGCTACCCTGCAATCAGTCTGTACTTCATGACTTCAAGAAAAATAATTTCTGTCTAGTACCCCATGGCCAACTCAGTTAATAAATAACTCTTACTTAAAGTAAGTTTGAGTTATACACTGTGGTTTACAGACTGATTGAAAAAAAATGAGGTTCCATAACTAACAGTACAGACAGAGAAAACGAGTGGAGCAAACAGGGAAATGCGGCCCACTAAATTGACCAATCAAAATACATGTACTAGCTAGTTGAGAGATATAATTAGTACTATTATTTACATAAATGACTACCTGAGAAACTGAATAAAAATATTATGACTTGCATAGGAGGATCAAGCTTCAATGAACTGATAAACTCTGACATCAAACCTTTGATGAGGTCTTTTGCAGCTGGTGATATCGACTCCCACTGCTGCCCTTCAAATCTGATGTCACCATGTGTTATTCTTTGCATGATGAAATCTGAAGATCTAAAGCTACGACTGCTTTGGAATGGTACCTGACCAGACAACATGGTGTACTGTGGTGAAAAACATGAAAAGTATCTTATAACTTCATTCATAAATCAGACACAAAGTGATAACAATGGTTATGACTTTTATTTACCCTTTAACTCCCATGAGTGACCGAGATAGAATTTCTCCTTACAAAATCACTACTAATAATATCATACAAACAAATTATGAGAATTAAGGAAAATATTAATTAGGGGGTTATTAGTTGATCCAATACCAATGAGCATCGTAAAAATAGTATGGCAGAGGGTAAGGAGAAGTACAAGGTAATCTGGTATCATCAACTGAGTAGATTAGTTTACATAAATTAGCCAACATAAAGAGTTTCTAAGCTGATGTTTTGAGCACTAGCCCTGCATTAATGTAAGGAGAATTACTAAAAAAGATCTTGGAGGTGAAAGGGTTAAAGTACACCTTAAGAAATCATAGATTGTGGCTAAAAGCCCATTTAATGAGATCCATCAACCTTCACCCAATCTACACTAACTCTGGTCATGAAAACTCCGTACCAAATTTGTAGCTTAACTGTTTAACTCCCAGATCAAATTTCAAATTCTCTTTACTGTCAACCATACAATTCTTATAATGTTATTTCAGAGAATTTAGTATTGGATCAACTAATTATCAGTCCCTAAATTGACATTTTTTTCTTTATTCTCATCACTTATCTGGTTGATATTGTATATATATAATGTATTGGAGAAATTCTGTCTTGGTCACTCATGGGAGTTAAAGGGTTACCAGCTAAAAATTTGTCTTTCCTGTAAAACTACATAATCATAATTATTTATTAAATATTAAATAGGATTCTTCAGGACACCCTGTCTGGGAAAAAAAAACTTTTTATCAGTCAAAAGACCTGACAGGAGCAATTTCTGTTCTGCTCACCATTATAACTCCAAGACTCCATAAGTCGCATGATTCATCATAGCCACTTCTGTTCATAGTTTGGCTGATTACTTCAGGTGCAGCATAAGCCGCCGTGAAGCAAGGCGTCCTTAAGGGTTGATTTTCTGGCTTAAGTCTTGCAAAGCCAAAGTCCACAATTTTTAGTTCTGCATCCTCTGAATTATCTACAAACAGTAAGTTCTGAAGAAAGCAAGTGCAGAAACAAAATCATTGTTAGGAACAACTAAATTTATGACTCTCTTCACAGTTTTTCTGCTTTGAAATTTCCTTTTAACCTCTCAACTCCCAGGAGTGATTATCACAAAACTTCTCCCTGTTACATCCAATATTGTATCAAGTTATCTGGTGAACAGGTAAGTGAGAATACTTAAACTAATCAAGTAGATGTTATTATCTTGATCTTTCCCCAAATTCTCATAACTAGTTTAAAAGCTAGAGGTAGGATCAAAGAATAAAGTCTGAAGACAAATATCTGAGTATATTTTTGCACCAAGTAGAAGCTACTGTTTATTCATAGTAGTTCACCCTTTACACCCTAACATCTTTATGCATATTCTCCATACTGTTCTCTATACTATACCTAGGTTCTAACAGGGAGAATTTGTAAATCCATCAAGAACTTTGTCAGTTGCAGATCATTTCCTTTATGCTTGTAACTTAAAACATTGATTCCAGGGTGATATTGTGAGGCAAAATTAGAACCTTGTCACTCTTAGGGATTGAAGGGTTAAAGCACACACCTCAGGTTTTAAATCTCTATGTACAACTCCTCGGCCATGCATGAATTCCACAGCAGAGGCTAATTTCCTAATTATGTTGCTTGCTTCCACTTCACAAAAATTTTTCTTTTTCCGTATTCTTTCCAAGAGCTCTCCACCTCCAAGTAATTCCAAAACTAAATAGGTATGGAACTGCAAATTAAAGAAAATCATCCAAATGAAAAAAAAATTGTTTTATACATAGATGACAAAATCAAGTCAAAAGTTTTGCAGCTAAAAACATAAGGAAGTAGTTTCACATTTCATTGTATGCTAACTTCTCTTACAAAATCATACATGGCCAGTTTGCCGTAGAAAACTCATGATGAGGATGGACAAATCTGTCTGCTAAAGAATGACCAAATTCTGTATATCAATTGATCTGGAAATGTATAACAGTTAATAGGGAAAAGTATGAATCACATCCTTGTAGTTTGAAGTTTAAATGAGTGCACTTACATCATCCTGAAACACCTCCTGCAGTCGCACAATATTAGGATGACCTTGACAGATTCTTAGAGACTGTTCTTCCCGGATATGATCACGCCTGCAAAAACACAGTAAATTAAGATGTGAATTCCTCATAAGAGCCTTGTTTCTCTAATCAACGTGTTTCACAACAGGAAAATACACTTTTGCATAATAATCAATCTACACAGCTACTGTGCCATCACTGATGCCAAATATAATAATAATAATAATAACAACTTTATTAATCACCAAAAAGTAAAGCATAAAGGTGAGTCTAACACACTGTGAAAAGTACCAGATTTTACTCACCTTCTGCTCACAACTTTCACTGCATACGCAACCCTAGTTCTAATGTGGACACATTTTCTAAAAAAAAAAAAAAACACTGACCAACATTAATCTAACATACATGTAATTTCCATTTTTATATTTTTTATCATATCATATTTTTATTATTTTTATGGCCCACCATTTTAAACTCAAAGGCATAATTTCCATATGAGCTCAGAATATAACGTTTTTCACACTTAATTGTCTAGTTTGCTAAATCTTCTGGATAAAAGTAAAATTAGATTAGATCTGTTACTTCATGTTTCTGGTCTGAAGAAAACTTGACAGCTATATTTCTCAATTGCAGAACAAAAATGGTGGCCAATGAGTACTTTTTAATTTTGTCACTTTGGGTTGTTAAATGGCAGCTTGAAATTAGTTGAGCTTGGAGCCCCATGCTCAGGCTTTTCTTTTCAAAGATTGCAATCAATGTAGCAAGGAACCCAGTGTGACATTACCTACAAGTTGAAAAACTTCCATCACCAAGAACTTCATCACTAATAGCATAGTTTCGAAAAAAAGGAGAATCCTGAAAAAAAGAATGACCATAAAATTTTCAAATGAGAACCACTGTGACATTATTTCAAAAGTTACAAAAAAATCATTGAAAAATTTATCAAAATTAGATGATGATAGTGCCATGAGATGCAAATCGGAGCATAGTGTTCTGCATCCATGGAAACCAAGTCTGCAATAACCAGTAAAAACACTCTCATTAAATGAAAGAGTATTCTTAGTGATTTGATAGAGAGATCAGTTTGCCCAATTATGACACTGTTAAATCATGAATATTTCTCTCCTGGGAGAACCAATTACTGAAAATAAACTGTCTAAAATCATTTTAATCTACATGATTATACAAATGAATTGTTACCTCAAATAAAGCTGCATAATCTACAGCACCTGGAGCTGGCCTGTGCTCTGAGGGTTTGTTTGCCACCAGACGCTTGGTAAATTCATTTTCTCCAAATATTATTGAGGGTGCTACAAATGAATAACCCTGGACAAAAAAATATTAAAAGTAGAATGTAACAATAAAATTTTACTTGTTTTGTGCAATTTTGCCACAGTGTAGTGTAATGTTGATAATCTTCTACAAAGTACACCAAGATATTAACTACAAAAAAATTACACCAATGGAAAACTCTGACACAGATTGAAAAAAAAAATTGTTATCTTTATTGGCAAGAAAGTATCCCAAATTTTTATACCTAATTTATGGAATTACATTTTAAAATTGACCATTTTTAAATCATCAAAGGCATATTAAAAGACAGACCATACAATTTAAAACTGTCCAAATAGTGACCTATCCAGGGCTATCACTAAGGGCTGTGAGCCGTAACACCTGTTACAGCTGAGTATCCTTGATGTTGTGAGTGAAGAGGTCAATCACTGTTTAGTTACACCTGGGCATGTATTACAAAGTTACAGATGTTATCTCCCATTCAATGGCCGCTTCAAAACTTTGTGACAGCCTTGCTATCTGTCTTACCTTGAAAATTCTATCCGCAGTCTTAGGTATGGCTGCTGGTGAATATGTGGGGACCATGTCTGTGAATTCTTCTGCAAAGTTACTCACATCAGTTTCAAATCCAATGCGAGGTTTAAAGGGAGCAGCAATCTTCCTCTCAGCAAGCAGCCCCCAATCAATTGCCTTAAATTAATTCAATGATGAAAGCAAGTAAATAATTAGGAACTTTTCAGTAAAGTTGAGGTGGCTAAAAGTGGATATTTCCCAAGCCGCAAAGCAGTGAGGTAAATATCTGCCACTGGCCACCAACACTGAGGTGAACAATTGTTTTTAGTAAATACTAAGACAGTGAGATAACATTAATACAGCACAAAAAGATGATTTTAACTGATTTACAATTACAACATTTTCAGGCAAAAATCATGTGCACATTGCTCAGAGGTGAAAAGCAAAGGATATGTAAAGTTTGAGTAGCCAATCAGAAAGTACTTTCATCACTAACAACTGTTTTTAATTGGCATAACTCATGCACAATTTTTTTTCTTATAATGGTACCACTGTCCAGGCAGCTAATTTGAAAGGAATGAAATAAATGAGTTTACTGTAGAGTTGCAGGCATAGAGAAGTGACTGTCAATGACCTTGTCATGTTGCTTTAGTGACAGAGTTAGTCAGGGGAAAGGCCCCATAATAAATGATTCAAATGATTGGTTGCCAGGAACCTTTTTGGAAACCTCTGAACAAATTAATCAAAGCTATAACGAAACATTTACGGAAAATATTTTGCATTACATCAACCTTGAAGAAAGGATGATCCTTTATGTCTTGGGCTCCCTTTGCTCCAAGTCGCACTTTTGGATCTTTCTGCAAAAGCTTCAGAAGTAAATCCACAACTTCTCTTGAAATGTCTGCTGGCATGGGCGGGTTGTTATACAGAATTCGTCTACAGAGCAGAGAAATTCTAGAGTTAAAAAAACTAGTCTCATCTCACATGGGAGTACCATGTGGCTTTTTCTCACTTAGTTAGTTACACAGCACATTTGCCGCAGCTTTGTAAACCCTTTGATCTGATCAAATCATGATATGATCCCTGAGAGTGACTAGCATCTAATTTCTCCTTACAATATCACCCCCACATTACAAATTAAGGTCACAAGAATAAAGGAAATGATCACCAAAAATGGGAGCTCTTGATTCTTACACATATTCTTCTTATCAGTACCTTAGGGAATGTGTAGAGAACAGTAGAGAGAAAATGCATACTGATGTTAGAATACATAGGGTTAAGTTTTGGAGCAATAGGGAATTTGGATTAGGCACTCCAGTATACTTAACCCTTTCACGCATTGATTGACCAGGATAGAATTTCTCCCTACAATATCCATACAATTTCAAGCAGACAAGTGATGAGAATAACAAGAAATATCAATTAGGAAATTATCGGTTGATCTAGTGACAAATTATCACAACTAAAATCATAAGACTTGTACAGCAGCCAGTAAGGAGAATTTGGAGTGAAATGGGTAAAGCAAGCCTCAAAGAGTTCTACCCACCCCCTCCCCCCTCCTCCTCCCATATTTTGGAGCAAACATTGACACTAATATGCTGTGGTTACCAGGAGATCATTTCTTTGTGTAACTGAATCATAATTTGAAGCATCAATTAATACAGTCAGCCACATATTATACTTACTTAGAAATCTCAGACTGACTATTTTTCTCGCCATCAACAGTAAAAGGTGAGGCTCCCGTGAGCAATTCATACATGAGAACACCCAGACTCCACCAGTCCACTGCCTGTAAGGATAAAGAAAAGAAAAAATGGGTAATATTTAAGAGCAAATAAAGTTATTTTTTAATTATGTTACTCTTCAAAAGAGAGTAGAGTAATGGAGAAGATTAAGGACTCTGTAAATGCACTGTTTACATTGACCTCTTTTTCCTTTGAGGTAGTGAGTGTGATGATGCGATTCACAAGCACAACACGGAGGACCAAATAAGTGATAGTGGGATTTTTGTCCTGATTGAAACTTTTTTGTAATCTACAGTAATATTTCATGTCTACCATATTTCAAATTATTGTTTTGATCACTTTGTCACACATTGTGACACAATTTGCAAGCAGAGCACTAAGGACAAAGGAAGTGCAAATAGGATTTTTGTGCTGATTGAAGCTTTTTTTAATTTAAAATATTTCATGTCCACCACAATTTGAATAACATTTATCATCACTTTATCACACATTGTGACAAATTTGCAGGCTAAATTGGGCCCAAAACATACATCTGCCCACCAGAATCAACTCCATCTTTTTAATCTAAATTGCTCACTTCGACAAAAAAAAACAACATTTATTTCAATATTTTATTCGATCTGTGTTGTACCTTATCATGCCCTCTACTACCACCTTTGACAACTTCAGGGGCCATGTACTCAATTGTTCCACAGAATGAATAAGCTCTCTCGCCCTAAAAACAATTAATAAAAAATTCGATTTACAAAGTTACTTGACTGGTAGAAACTGCTACACACCAAAAACGTCGTGCTTACCGAGTTAGGCGCTGAAAACTCCTTGCTCAGCCCAAAGTCTGTGATCACCACATGCCCATCAGAGTCCAATAGGATGTTCTCTAATTTGATGTCACGGTAAATTATACCGAGCTGAAAGCAAAAATTAGTTTGTCTCGTCAACGAGTTGTTTGCATGGTCACCTTCCTAAACTACTGTTTAGATAGATTGCGTGCAATAAAATAATGCAGAAAGAGAAACATTGCGCAATCTGTCAGAGTTTTCAGAGGGTGTACGTTCAATGTTTACTCTCCTGAATAAAAATGCCCCACACAAACAACCAAATTTGAAGAATATGGACGTAAAAATACACGATTATAGCCACCAATTTTGGACCTTGTTTATTTTTATTTACATCCCTTGTAAACTCTGACCAATGAAGCTGAGGAGATCTAATTAGGCGTAAAATCCGACAGGTTTTGTCGAAAACCGGACAAAAAGAGTCTAAATAAAACGTTTTACTCACCCTATGAAGATGTTCGATAGCAATAATAATTTCTCCAATGTATATTCTAACTTCGTCTTCTGTGAACTTCTCTCGTTGATACAAGTGGGTGAAAAGTTCGCCTCCATTCACATAATCTGCGGGATTCACAATAATAACAAATATCATGATTGTATTAAATGAAACTTAGAAGAAGATTTGAGCTTACTAATATTTCGATATTGAATCAAGTCTTTACAAGGCCTATTTAAAAACGAAACCTAAAGCACGGAAGTTTCGCAGAGAAATACGCCAAACTCACGAACCATTCTAGAAACGTGACATTGCTAAATAAAAAAACACGATTTGAAGATTGTACGAAATTCTAAACCTGACGGAAATGATTCCTCAAGTCGTGATTTCGCTTGCTCGATATGAAGGGTTTCTTCAGACTTCTAAAAAAGCGAAGAGAAACTTACACAAATGACATTAAACTTACCCATTATCAAATGTAGTTTTGATTCTGTTTGAAAAGCCCAGTGTAATGTGACAAGAAATGGACACCGGCGAACTGCTTCCAGGACTTGTCGCTCAGTGCGAGTATGTTCAGCTGTCTTCGCTTTCTGAACGATCGTAGCCTTTTTCAGCACTTTCATGGCGTATAGGTTCCCGGTGAAGTAGCCACCTCTTTTACGAACGAGAAAAACTTTTCCATATGCTGTACGTGAGAAAAAAAATTGAGTCAACATTTCCTCGAGGGGTTGAGCACGAAAACTCAAGCAAGTTGAGTTTACGCAGGTTTTGCGCAGAACAGGATCCCTCAAAGAATGAAACTAAATCGGGTGTTCCTTACCTCCCGTTCCAAGAACTTTGAGAAGCTCAAAATTCTCCAGTCCAACCTTTTCGTCTTCATGAGCTGTCAAATTAGCTACGGGAAAAACAAAAAGTTATGCAGAACTGATCGTCACCAGTAAATTGTTTATGTTCAGACCACCAAAATGCCCGACTATTTTAACTTCGCTACAGCAACTGTACGAAATCTGTACCGTTTTTCAGCTCGTGGTGAATCAGTTTCGTGTTCTCATAGCCATTTTCCACCATTTTTGCCGCGCTTTGAAGCCTAAAAGGCTTTCAACAGCGAAAAAGCAGAAATTACACAAAGTTCGCCCGACATAGACGGTTTCGGTAGCAATCCCCGAATCTTATTTCCGACCCTCTGATTGGTTTACCAATTGTAATATATTTGGCTCACGTGACAAAATAATTTCCCCCTTTCCCCAAATTTCACAACTACTTCCGGTCATTTTCGCTAAATTTCTCTCTTTTTACAAATTAAATCAAATCTCAATTGCCAAGAGAAAATAATTCAATTCAAATCGTCAAATTACCAAAGGAGAAAAGAACAACAGAAAACAAAACAAAACATGAAAATGATAAACAACTTTTAGTAACAAATTGCTGGAATGTTCTTACTACTGAAGTCTTACGGAAGCGTAAATGAACAAGGAACTTGGAGCTGTTTGGTTTCCGGTCTGAAGTAATGATTGTTCTTTACGAACTTTCAAGTAGCTAAAACTATTACGATGATGCAAATTTGAAACTCTGGCAAAAACCAACTTATTTTCATTTGTTATTATCTCAAGAGAAAATTAACCTCAGAACACTTCTACGCTTGATCGAGATGTTTATGAGTCACAACTTAATGTTGTGAGATGGTGCGCAAAATGTCTATCTCTATTTTTGCCTTATTACTAAAAATAAACACATTACAGGGTAGTTTCCCGTACCATCCTTCTTTTTGTTTCATTTTTTAATCGCGGAAAGTCCGCTGAATTTCTAATCAAAAGAAAATGTTTCGAAGAAGTCATGATGAGTGACTTTATCGGGCTGTCAGAAGTACTACATGAAGCCACGATGAAAAATAAATACAACGATTACAACCACAACTTTACTATCTTTTCTTAGTATTTATTCCACAACTATTTTTGATGATTGTTAAAAGAAGCAGAGCTTACGTCTAGATCGATCCGTTTAAGTACTGACCCTGTCTCGTCGTAGATGCTAAAAAATGGATAACGAATAAAATATTTAAATCAGCGATGAATGATAAATGTGTATTTGTGGGAGCGAAGAATTACGAACAACAGAGACATGCTACTAGCATAATGAATACAAATGATCTTGTTTGTAATGTTGACTAAAAAAACTTCAAAAAATGCAGACAGGCGTGTGCTCTCCTTATTATTTTGGACACAAGTGTCCGGTTTTTGCGATTCTTTTTGCGAGCAAGCCGCAAAATACGATACTTTCAGTTCACTGAAGAGGGAACAGTGAACAGTGAACAGTGAAAGGGAAAAGTATGGAATGGCGGAACGGCGGGATGACGGAATAACCTAAAACGCAGAATGCCTTGTTGTAAGAAACAGAAGTCTCACAAAAATGGAATTGCAATAAAACAAGAAAATTGTTTACAATCAAAAGTAAAAATTTAAAGAAGCATAACTCAATTACTATTGGAGCCTATAGGATAAGGGAACAGGGGGCTTTTGGGCTTGCGCTTTTTAATAATTAATTTATTGGTTGAAAGTCCATTAGTCACTACATTCTTCAATCATCTCTCTCTTGTATAACGCTGTGTTCATAAATATATGGAATATGACAGGATTTATTTTTTGCATGAGAATACAAATCGTCAGCAAGACTAACTGTTTGTAAATCGCAAATGGTGTTACTGAAATAGTCCGCCATATTGGAATTAGCCGACAATTTCCGATAATCATCCAACATGCAACATGATTTTGAATCATCCGACTCGGAAAGTCGTCACTAGTGCTGCTCGGGCGTACCTCTAGATAAACAACAGATGTCACGCGCTAAACGCCTGAGTAACCATTCAATATTCTGCAAGTTCTAAATGATGGCGGGGTTTTCCGTCACACGAAAGCTAATCCCCACAAGAATACCCTCTATCTTGTGCCGTCGAGTGTCTTCTTTCTTCACAGAGGACTACACTCCACCTCAGCTCGATCATGTCACTTCTGATTGGGAAAAACTTTATAAGCAAAGTATCAAAGATCCCGAAACTTTCTGGGGACGGCTTGGTGCGACGCGGTTAGATTGGATGAAACCTTTCGATTCAGTCATGGACGTAGATTTGCAAAAGGGCCAGCATAAATGGTTTTTAGGTGGCAAACTCAATGTTTCAGGTACAGAGATAGTTGATGATTTTTACCTTTCTTAATCGTACGCTAGATTCTTGGAGCGAGAGTATTGAGTGAGAAATGTCTAGGATCAGGTCCTATTAATATTTCCTTAGGGTGGAGAGGGTAATTGGGCGGTTACTTTCTAGTTAATGTTAACTTAAGTTAGATCATTCTTGTTCATAGAGACTAACATAAATTAGAGGTGGCATAAGGGTGCATTCCTGGTTAGGGCTTTTATTCTTCTTTTTTTTTGTAAAATTAGCTATTAATTCCTTAATTCCCACAATTGACAAGTGAGTTATTATCTCCTCACTATACCCATATATATAACCAAAGATTCAACAAGAACAAACAATCTTGTCAGCCATGGCCTATTAGTTCGAAGGACAGATAGGGTTATCTCAGGGATGAATTGTTATCCAACAGACAAATGCTAGTAAAACATACTGCACTATCCACTGAGCAGATATTTATCCAGTGGATAGCATTATCCACTTTTGAACAGCTGATGCTAGGGGTCTTATTTGTTCATAATACCAAAATCTCCTCACTTATATGGAAATGTGTAGCAGTTAGGAGGGAAAATTACTGGTCAACTCTAGGAGGTTAGAGGATGAATTTGATTAAAAAAAGGATCCATTTGCAAAACAGAGCAAGGTTTGTGTGGAGTCAGTATGTTTGGTTTCTCACATAACAAATTGGATATTAAAGGACAGAATTTTGTCCTGTATCTATTGGCAGCACTTCTCTGTTGGATTTTGATGCTTCTTCTGATATTTTTTGTTGGATTCCTCTACATTACTGGCATGAGGTTGTAAGAAGAAGGTTACTTTTGTCTCATATAACTGTCACCCTGGAGATTAAGAATACAACTCCAAAGCCTTGTGCAGTGGCCTGATGGTGAGTGCACTTGACTTAGTGTTGAGAGGTGTGGGCTTGAGACTTGACCAGGTACTGCATTGTGTTCTTGGGCAAAACTTGTTACTTTCACAGTGCCTCTCTTAACCCAGGAAGGTAAATTGAATCTGGTGCATCATCAGGGAAGCCTGATAAATGCTTGGGGTAACCCTACCTACCTACTACAAAGCTTAAAATCTTGGTTAATATTTTTTATTATTACGCTTAATTTTAGTGCGAGCTTAGTTAAACTCAAGCTGTTGCTGGCTAGGATTTATATCAACCAGCAGAAGCTGGTGAGAATTTACAGTACCTCTGCTAAGGTCACTATTTATTATATCCCTGTGTCATTTCATATCATAAATGCTTGCAAAGTTTTTCATGTGCTTGCTTGCATACTCTGCCAAATCAAAGCAAGACTAATATTCATTTTCACTCTCATGAAGGGCTAATGCTTGAAACATCAGCTTCAAAACTCCTAACTGTGGCCAATATACATTATAAACTTACAAAGCAAGACTAATATTCATTTTCACTCTCATGAAGGGCTAATGCTTGAAACATCAGCTTTGAAACTCCTAACTGTGGCCAATATACATTATAAACTTACTTGATAATACCAAATTACCTTGTTATACTCTCCCCCTGACACAGCACCACACACAGTTTCTTTAGAAACTTACCCCCTTTATTATTTTGAATTGTGTTTTTTAGTAAACTGTGTTGACAGACACATGGAGGCAGATCCTGATCGCTGTGCCTTGATATGGGAGAAAGATGAACCAGGGGATGTGGAAAGGATCTCTTACAGGTATTCTCCCAACTCTCTGCCTTAAAATTACAATTACAATCTGCCTTGTTAGTGTGGAGAATTTGGTATTGGACCAGCTGATAATCCCCTTTATTGATATTTTTCTTTATTCTCATTACTTGTCTCCTTGTTACTGTATTGATATTGTTAGGAGAAATTCAGTCTTGGTTGGTTGTGGGAGTTAAAGGGTTATTGTAAATTAACCACACTGTTTTTTTGACTCGTATCTTGAAATGTTCTCAAAAAGAAATAAGCAAGAAATCAGACAGTATCTTTCCATGGATATTTTTCTGTGCTTGTGGTTACTGTATATATTGTGGATACTGTATAATGGATATTTTTCCGTGCTTGTGGTTACCGTATTTGCCAATGAAAAAAATTGACCTCCACAGATATTTAATTGGCTGCATTTTAGCTTTTTTAAAAACACTTATTCACCTCTGATTTGTTGAACAATTGTTCTAATAAATTTTCAGAGAGTTGTATGAAATGGTCAACAAGATGGCAAATGTTTTCAAGAGCCATGGAATCAAAAAAGGAGATGTTGTATGTATCTACATGCCAGTCAGTCCATTAGCTGTTGCTGCCATGTTGGCTTGTGCAAGAATTGGTGCACCTCACAGGTAAAGACTTACTAAGGGACACTTATCTCCCTTCTTTGAAGCATGACAGGTAAAAGAAAATTTTAAACCAGAAGGACAACCCTTTTATCTGTTGGATTTTCAAGAATTCCAAGCAATTTTAGGCAGTAATAGGGTAACTATAGCAGTAATATTCATTTTTTTGCTTACTGCCTGAAATCATAAAACAGATCTACTTGAAATAGGTAGAGACATTTTATGAAGTCTTAACATGGGTTTAATGTCTTAGTGTGACAAAAGTTATAAATTAGTTATAAATTAATGAAAATGTCCGGTTTCTGTGTTTACCTGTCTCAGACCTTCAGTTTGTTAAACAAAGTACAGTAGTGCTAGAGGATGGTGTGGTAGCAGTAGTGAGGCAAAAAAAGGATTCAGGTTACAAAAAAATAGAAATTAGACCAGCCCAACCAACAGGAAAGGAAGTGACAAAGCGTATGGCTGCCTGTCTTTGGCCTGTCCTAATGCAAAGCTAATTTATGCTTTTTTTTAATTGCAGTGTCGTATTTGCTGGGTTCAGCTCAGAAGCTTTAGCCAGCAGAATAAATGATGGTAAGTTGAAAATCTGTGTTCTCTTTTTTAAGCCAAGTATATCACAATTAGTGGGCAAAAACATTGCCCTACTCAACTTTGTTAGG